CGATTGAAAAATAGTCATCAAGCCGGTGATTAAGAGAGTTCAATTTTCTTTTTAAATCATTTTCGATACATTTCCTATCTTTCAGCGCTATGCGAATCAAATTTCCTATTCCACAAATTTTATTAGTACTCAATCCATATTTTGTTTGTAACTGTAACATATCTTCCGCAGATATTATTTTACGATTGTCTTTGGGAAACAGTTCTATTCTAAGAGGCTTTCCGTGCTTTTGGGATAAGGAAATAACATTACCTGCTGATTCAATACTTCCTTGATTATGTTTTTCAGCAACATTTCCTTTTATAAGCTCACACGTTAAATGCTCTTTTGTTTTCTCAGGTAAATAACTTTGTACTATATCTTTAACATTTTTATATTTTGTTGATGACGTGCAATTGTGTTGTACTCCTTTATGTAATGTAGATATGCACTTGGCACATTTTTTCGATAGATTTTGACCTTTCTTTTTCAATTCAGATTTACGTTTCACAACAAATCCCAAATCAGTTCGCGCAAAGTCACATAGAGTACAATTACAAATCATATCACTATTTGTTCTTGTAACTTTTTTAGGAAATGTAAAGTTAGAATAATCAGGCAAGTTAAATTTGTTATCACTTCTGGCTAATTCATAAACCTTCACACGACACGATGTACAAATTGATGTAGGTAGACGAACGTCTGTATCACTGTAATTTGAAACTTTATCTAGTTTTTTTTTCATTTCAGATCCAATATTTTTCATGCCTTTCTTTTTTTCTTTACAACCTACACAAACTTTTTTTCTATTCTCTTCGTGAGAAGCTGCATGATTAAGTTGCGACATTATCACTGAGAATTTTCAAAACTTGTAGCAACACGAAAGAAAGGTGTAGACTGATAACAGCTAACTGACGCGAAAACGGTCGAATCTATAGTCAACTTCCCCCACTTTCTACATACTTCAACATATTTTCCGCGGCATACGTTATATTTGAAAACTCGCGCGACCTTTGATATTGTTTACATCATAATAGCATGAGTACCAGCAACCAATTGACTATTGAACGAGGTTGATTCTTCCTATTTCATAATACACACACGTACACATATATGATATTGCATAAATACGTATATGTTTACACGATTATGCTTATAACTGTGTTTGAATTAAAAAATGCATTGAAAAATTATGTCATAATTGAAAAAAAAAATAATTTTCAGTATATATGTATATATTTGTAATAAATATAATATAGTTTAAAACAAGAGCAATTTTAATTTGATTTTTTTCTAAGTTTAACATTTTTAAAATGATTATAATGCCAAAAGAGTAAAAAAAAATTTCCAATGTGAATAAAACGAAAAGTTGAGGTTCTACGATTTCGGGGTTGGTTTTTCCTAGTTCTATAAACCTCCTGCAATAGATATTCATAAAAATTTCCGGGGTGGTATTCAAAAAAATTAAAATATTTTAAAACCCACCGTGTTTGGGAACAAGAAAAAGTCACATGGGGCCAAATCCGGTGAATATGGTGGCTGAGGCATGATTGTGGTGCTGTTTTTGGCCAAAAAATCTTTCACAAGCAAAGATGAGTGAGCAGGGGCATTATCGTGATGCAAAAGCCATGAATTGTTTTTCCACAATTCTGGGCGTTTTCTTCGTATTGCTTCTCGCAAACGGCGCATAACTTAATTATTGAAAAGACAATACTGTTTATTGACCGTACGTCTATATGGTAAGAACTCCTGATGCACCACGCCATGGTAATCGAAGAAAACAGTGAGCAAAACTTTGACATTTGATCGAACTTGGCGTGCTTTTTTCGGTCTTGGCTCATCTGGGCTCTTCCATTGGGACGAGTGGACTTTGGTTTCGATATCATAACCATATACCCATGATTTGTCATCAGTTATGACCCTTTTGAGTAAATCTGGGTCGTCGTTGACGTCATTCAACAGTTCTTGAGCGATGCTCATGCGACGGTTCTTTTGGTCAAAATTTAGCAATTTCGGAACAAACTTCGCTGACACACGTCTCATGCCCAAAACGTTAGAAAAAATTTCATGGCACGAGCCAAGCAATATACCAACATCCTCAGCAACTTCTCTGATAGTGATTCGACGATTTTCCAGAACAATTTTCTTCACTGCTTGAACGTTTTCATCAGTTGTTGACGTGCTTGGGCGTCCAGAGCGAGGCTCGTCATTGGCATCTTCCCGGCCATCTTGGAAGAGTTTGTACCACTTGTAAACATTTTTTTTACTCAGAACAGTTTCACCGTATGCCACCGTCAACATTTCAAGTGTTTCGGAGCACTTTATTTTATTTTTTACACAAAATTTGATGCAAATCCTTTGATCCATATTTTTCGATAGCAAGAAATCGCCGAGTTCGCAAAACACTTATAACCTTTACGCCTCTCACAACCAAACCAAAAATTCTATACACTTGAAACTTGGTACAGATATTCGGGAAGAGTGTACCAACATAACAAAACAAAAAAATCGATAATCGAAAGTACGTTGCCCGTGAAATTTGAAAAGTCACCTTACTTCTTGAACACACCTCGTACTTACGTATACTGATGGTCACTATTTCACTAATGAAGAATATTATGCTTTTTGAGATATAAACCCGGAACTTCAATGTAAATTTAATACATATGAGGTGTTGCATCAAGGATACGATACTAAAGTGTCCGATAACGTCACACATGCTCCAAACGTGTATTTCACCAACTCAACCAGTTCATTTGATCTATGCGGATACCGCCTCATTTCCACTGAATTAGTCAGATTGTCGTAGTAGAAACACAACCAAACCGTTCCTGTCCCGCAAAACAGAGAATCGATGTCGAAGATATACTTCTATTGGCGTATTTTAACATAAAAATTACTTACTCAGCACGGCACGTTAAACTTCAATTTACTCAAGTATACCAGTATAATAAAATACAGATGTGAAGTTGAACGACAAGTAATTCAAAATTCTGTTTCACTGGCGTATGCCATTACTGCACCTGATGAATTTACCACGATAATCAGGCGCCAACCAAGATACACAGCAGTCGCAGTTGGCGAAATTGCACAAATTATGTAGTACCAACCCACGGAATGTCGTCTCAGGGATACTAAAAATTGTTACCACAAATTACCAGTCATTTGTAATAAAAAAAAATTCTTCGTAAGACCAAAAACACATATATTATAAGCACACGGAATCGCGAGAGATTACAATTCAATATTACCACGAAAAGAGCGGGCCACGTTTGTAAGACAATTTGTCCATTACAGAAGCATACCGACCAAGACCACCTTCAAGAATGAAGATGAGAAGAAACCAAACGAATAACTACAAGAGTTACACACTAAACTAAAAGCCACAAATAATAAGGCATGTTCAACTCCGTAAACATAATTAAATTATATTTACCAGCGTACTATTGACAATTAGTTTAATATTATCATAAAATCTTTACACACAGAGAACTACTCGTTCAGGACATCACTGTCGTTAGCTGATAAATAGACAGCGACTTCGGATGGTATCCGACTCGGGTCATTCATAAATACACAGGAGATTAATAGATTTGTTAAGTTATTTTATCTCATTTAAAAGCACGCATCTCAGTGCCTGAAGTAGCTCATTGCAATATTCATCACTTCGAAAGTGGAAGCTTCTTTAACAAGCTTCACACTTTTTCAAATAACAGGAGAGGTGTTACGTCTCAAGCAAGCCAGATATCAGACGCTGAAATGTTGCCAAAACAGCATTTTGTGTGTGACTTTCAGTCTTTTTTACGCAAACGACTAACTTCGCGGTTCCTTGATCTCGGCAGTTTCGGTACGGATCGACCTCCAGACGAAATGTGCATGTAAGTCGATGCCGTTTTTCACGGAGAGTGAGAAACACGGATAGTCTTCGCCTAATATGCGTTTTTGACAAAAGCGCAAAAGTGGGGAATATACAGTTCTCCTCTCTCACGCTCTCGCAAGAGTTACTAAATAGGATAAGGAACAACTCGTGAAGCTTAATGAACAATTAGCCCATTGGCCATTGATATTAATTATCACGTCAGTGGGCGAGCCATTGCCGGCCTTTTTTTGATTGCGGAGAAGACTGGATACACACTTCGCGATCGCAAGCGAAACCATAACAAACTATGCGAAACGTTTAACTCTCTTGTAAGATTAACTGTATAATAGTTATAAAGAAATCTATACCATAAAAATCAGTAAAATTACAACTCGAACCAAAACATTCTGCCAATCCTTGAAAGTGTGACTGACTGTGAGTGGTGCTTTAGGCACATTCTACTATTCTTGTCACCGCCGCACAGCAGTTCGACAAATCGCAGGAGAATCTACAAGTCAAAAGTTGCGGAGGGTAACCCGCTACAACAGGTTTTTCTTTTCGATAATTCTGTCTAGCTTCGGTCGCTCTAGATCGATTTTCCTAGTAAATTACGGTAATACTTGAAATTAGAAAGGGAAAGTAAATATTTTGTTAATTCCGGATGTAACACAATCAATTTATATTAATCAATTCATGCCAACCATACTGATACACTTTTCGAACTTTTAATCGTCTACAAAAATCTGCAGGAATCTTTCATGAGAGTACGCAACGCATATATACTATCATACATAAGACCTAATCAGGCGGCTATTTTTCAGTCAATCAGATCAAGATCAAAATGCGTTCACTTTAACGATCATAATTGTTTTAAAAAAAGATTTGCATACATTTATTTCCTTTTATTGTATTTGGGCTTTTCTTGCATTTTCATCCAGATTCAGTACTCGACAGCGAGGACTTTATTTAGTAAATGAATTTCCTATTTCCTATTTAAATATTTCCATTTTCTATTTAACTGTAACTATTTCAAATTGTGAAACCAATACGATACTAAATTTCTAGATTTTCTTATCATCCAAATTTCGATTTATTTTTTCTTACAGCATGACAATTTGTTCAGAATATTATATGTATTTATTAATCTGAACATTTTAGGTAGTACGTGATAAGGAGACTCTTAGTTACGATTGCGACGTGATTTCTTTTTCTCTATGCATGCCTTTAGCCATTCAAATTAGAGAAAAGGCATCTTTATTATATTTATTACAAGAACTGAATCACTCAGCATATAATTACGATATAAAAAATATTCCAAGTATTAAAGATGTGTGGAAATGGTTATCGCCATTTTTCATTGAGAGCTTGACCAATAAAATGATTGATGCTTCTCTCAATGAACCTACGCTAATGATTGATATACAAATGACATATTTATTGGAAGAAGAAGAATGTAAAGCGTTGTAAGTAATTATATTTTCTTACTATTATGAAAAATCAAATAATGTATAAAAATATAGTGCAGTGAAAAATTTTTACTTTGAGGCGACGTTCTATTGTCTCAGCTCCACCTAAATTTTTATTTTTTATATTAAAACATGTATTAATTGACATTTATATTACGCGTGAAAAATATTATATTATGTTACGTCTTGCAACGTATTTTTTGCAAAGTTTTCAAATTTAAACATTACCTGTACAATTCTGAAATTTAAACTCCTAAAGAGATCGATTCATGTCATGAAAAAAATACAATGAAGCAAGTACGTGCTATTTTCCACATATTTTCAAAACACAATGATGATACAGTGCAATACCGACAAAATATAAAGCTTATCATACGCATTCGCAGTTGGTTCAGTTCACAAAGTTTTGAATTCAGAGCTCCGTGCACAGGCCAGTTTGACAATTAGGTACTTGTACTTCTATCTTTACTTTATACTTACTTATTCAATTCTTAATTTCATTGTAAAAAATAACTTATATAATCTTTAGTAATTTATTTTAAATCTATTATAAAGTGTTAGTGTTATTGTATTCTTCTAATAACGCCTGACCTGAGCTGTAGACACATTTATTGCTGATTCTGCAAGATACAGTATTAAACAATTATTCACTTCAATTGATTATTTACAAATCATTTCCTTCTGAGACAGAAAAAATATATATTTTCTTTAAATTTACTAAATAATAGTTGTTGCTAACATCTTTATAAAGTGAGCCTTACCTACTAATTTTGCATTGGTACGTCTTGATTGTTATTAATTTAATAGCTAAGACGTAACAATTGGTTCCGGTATCCAATTATTTAAATAAATTATTGAACAAAATTTGATTGAGTATAAACTCAATAATGTTGAAGTATAATATAACACAAATAGAAAGATTAAGCATAAACCGAAAAATCGTAGCTTAAAGTAACAAAAACTATAAGTGTAAATTGGAAAGTTGTAGCTTCATATAACAATTGTTTCTGATACCAACATATTTAAATAATTATTGAATACACGAATATAAAGAAGTGTAAGCCGGGAAGTAGCTTCATATAACAGAAATATAATTATTTGTAACAATAGCAAAATTCAACTTGTGGTAAGAAAATTTAACGTATTTCATACGCATCGAATTTAAATTACTTGTATTATAGTGAGTTATCTACGTAAATCGAAAGCTAAGCAAAAGTACGATATTGACATAACGAGTTCATAACATTAAAAAATGGTAAATAGAATACGAGTTAATTATTATTATTAGTTCTCAAAAAATGTTAATAAAAATTCGAAATTACATATATCTTTCCTTTGCACAAGTAGTATTTATATATGATAATCAAGGACGTACCTTAAAAAATCACTTTTCTTTAGATTTTCTTCCAACTTTGAAAATAAGTTCTATTTTTCGTCCTATAGACAGCGGTAAAAAGATTAATATAGGTAAATAAGCAAAAAGCAAGAAATACAACTTTAGAGTTCAAAGTTTCAACACACATTAGATAGGCTTAATATTTTTTAAGATTGTAGAGACAATTTTCTTTAGAATTTTTTGAAAAACTAGTATGTTGTTCTAGAGATTACAAGGATTAACATGCAGTGATAAAAAATATGGGTATCAGGACTATTTTTGATGCTATGCATACTCGAAATTCGCAACTGACTGAATCTTTCAATCGGCGCGCAGAGGTAAACATTATGACTTGGTAACACCGCAAACCGTTTGTACGTTTCAATCGTAGCGTAAGCGAATGATGTAAATGGTTTTATCCTTTTTTCTTTTATTTGAATTATCAATTTTGTAAATATTTTTTGATGTTTTAAATATTAGTTTAGTTGGTGTTTTTTATATATTGACATGATTAAATAAAAAGTTTGGAAGGACTGATTCAAGTAAAGAATGAATACATGTTTATTTGAATTGTAAAATATGTAATTCGTTACAACAATTATAAATTCATTTTACTTACATATTTCTAAGGTATTTATATCATAAATTTTAAAAATGAAAAGCTGAAAATTGTTTAATAAATTTTTAAAAAACTTTTTATGTTTCTTCAGCTTGTAAAAATTCAACTAGTCTAGTTAAAACTTTTTGGTCTTTGATAGTTTTTACCTTGTCTTTAATTTTGTCAGTAAACTACACCGAATGTTCTCTGTTTTGTCATAGATTTCCTTGTCAGTGATGTTACGTTTAGCTGACTTCTTTAAAAACATAAGAGAGAGAACATTCTTTCGTTTATTTAAAAACTGCAATTTGTAATCAATTTTATTAGCTTCAAGTATCATATTGCAGCCTTCATAATGAGCTTTTTTGGAACTAACAAGCTTTTCTTTGCACTTTAATATATGTATAAGTTTTTCTAAGACCCTGACGCCATAAAGAACATCATGAAAGTTTTTTGATTCTTTTTGGTTTGAAAAATCTTTGGCTAAAACTTCCAATTTGAATTGATCCCGACCTTTTCTTTTAGGAAGTAGATTTTTTAACACTCTTACGGTATCCAAAAATCCTGTAATGATATCAAATCTTGGATTAAATATCAAATATCAAATTCTCGGAGCAAATTATAACTCATAATTTGTCGTAAAAAAAATTCGATCGAATGCCAAAAGCATCTTATGAGCCACTAGAATACATTTTTTTGATTTCGACAATGATTGCAAATATTGTTTGAATGAAAGTAGAGCTTCTTGAAGTGTCATACTTTCCACTGACTTCCCATTGTTACAGAGCATACTATCTGTATTATATAGACCAGTCACTTTAGCAACACCTCTTGAAATTTCTCTTGTTGGATTAACGTACGTATATATCATATTCATATTTTTGACATTTTCTGGCCATCTGTACAATTTCAGAATTGTTATCAAATCCAGTTGTTTCTAAATCGAAGTAAACCATCTTTGGTTTTTCAGTCAACTCCGGTCACCACCACTTTCACCATAGCTCATTTAAATGTAAATCGCCTAAATTCCACTGCTCATTTTACCTTACTCAGAGCACGCTGCCAAGAAAAGAACTATGATATTTTCACTGTCACTGAAACATTCTTAGAAAAGGACCAACCAGATTCTTATCTCATGCTATCAGGTTATAATTTTCATCGACATAATCGCGAGGGCAAGGAAAGCGGTGGGCTGGGCTTCTATATTAAAGACTTTTATGATATTGACCTTATCCGGTCTCACATTTGTTAACATACGCGAATTCATCATAGCCGAGATCAATAAAAGCTTGTTTAAGTTTCTAATTACAGTAGTACTCGTATATCGTCATTCATCTGGAACATCGCCAACCTTTTTCTTTAACACAATGGCTACCTTCCTACCATTTTATAACGAGGTAATTCTTACTGGGGACATTAATACTGACTTATCATCCACTTCTCTGCATGAAGCTGAGAATATTTGTGAGTTGATTGACACAAATGCCTTAAGGGTTGTATCCGTTGAGCCGACGCTTCATATCATTGATAAGAATTCTCCATCTCAAACTACTCTGAACCTCTTTATCATCAAGCATGATATGGATTCTCCACTGTTTAGCAAATCTGATGCTCTGTTTGCAGTCCACCATAACCTCATTGAGCTGACTGAATTATAATATCTAATATCCTTCAAGAAAGTGTTATGTCGCGACTCCGTAGCCGTGACATGTATTTGTTTAATATGAGTAAAATTTATTTTATCACGGTATGATTACACTAGAGAAAAAAAAAAAAAAGAAAAAATATAAAAAAAAAAAAAAAAAAAATAAAAAAGAAAAAAAAAAATAAAAAAAAGAAAAAAAAAAGAGAAAAAAAAAGAAAAGAAAAAAAAGAAAAAAGAATAGAAAAAAAAATGAAAAAAAAAAAAAAGAATAGAAAAGGAAATAAGAAGTAGAGAAAAGATAAAGAGATAAAAAAAAGAATAAAATTAAATAGGAACCCCCATTTTTGACCCCGGATTCGGAAAGAGCGGGAAATTTTACGTCCAAAACGGTATTTTTAAATTTTTTTTCATGGCCTTGAGAAGGTCGATTTAAGGTCAAATGCTTGAAAAACTGCATAAAAGCGTTTTTTTAATTTTTAAGATATCGAAAAATGACCTCTACAAAATTTGTTCAGAACATAGTGGGCCACCCAATGCACCAAAAACCTTTGACCTTTAACCTCATTTTGAAGGTCATTTCAAGGTCGAAGTGTTTTTTGTAATGGAAATCCCTCTTTTTAACCCCGGATACGCACATAGCGCGAAATCCGACGTTTGGATAAGGTATTGTGTTGAGTTTCGCGCTATGTGCGAATCCGGGGTCAAAAAGAGGGATTTCCATTACAAAAAACACTTCGACCTTGAAATGACCTTCAAAATGAGGTTAAAGGTCAAAGGTTTTTGGTGCATTGGGTGGCCCACTATGTTCTGAATAAATTTTGTAGAGGTCATTTTTCGATATCTTAAAAATGAAAAAAACGCTTTTATGCAGTTTTTCAAGCATTTGACCTTAAATCGACCTTCTCAAGGCCATGAAAAAAAATTTAAAAATACCGTTTTGGACGTAAAATTTCCCGCTCTTTCCGAATCCGGGGTCAAAAATGGGGGTTCCTATTTAAAAAGACAAAGTTGACCTTGAAATGACCTTGAACATGACCTCCAAGGTCAAATCCAAGGTCATAGAAACATGGCCCCCTCAAAGTTGAGTAACTTTTGTCTGAAACTTTTTTCGATAAAACTCACTCCAATCTAGATATCTGAGTGGATCACTTAAAATGGGCCACCCTGTATATTGTTGAAGATGTTGATAAATTATTATCTTACTCCTTGTTCCTTCATATTATTTTCTTCTTAAATTGGTTTCTTTATTATTGAGAATATTTCGTATGGAAATTATAGAAATGAATTGGATTTCACTCAATGAGTGGCAGAGTCAACTGGTACAGTAGAATTGTCGCGAGTCGCGAATCAACTGTCTAAAAAATTGAGACGCTGTTTTA